ACAAGCTATAATAGGTATAAAGAGGCACTTTACCATCTTAGTTTCTGCTTTCATGAATATGAAAACTGTGCCTTGTGAATAGTTTACTCTCTGCTTAGAAGTATTTCAAATTTTTAAGTCATTTTAGTATTTTCTTTGCATCTTGATGTTTTTGATTAGTTTCTGACATCCAGATGGGTAATGCTCATTCTCTATTGTAATCTTCCTGATATATACACATTTTTTAATTTACAAAAGTAATAAATGCAAATATTCCCTGTAGACTATTAGCAAGTACAGCAAACAGACTGTGAAGCCCCATTCTTCCCCGCACACCCAACCTCCTCCTCTCTCCGGGCCCAGAAGTGTCAACTGTTTACCACGCTGCATTTCCCTCCCTGCCTCCCTTCCTCTCTGCCTTCCAAGGTAACAGTTTTCTTTGTTCAACTCATTTTGAGGAATTATATTTTAGCATAATTACACACATTAATTGATATTAATAATTTTAAATGACTTTATATTCACAAAGTATAACTTTTCCTCCCTGTAATTTGATGTCTCAAAATCAAAGGAAAGCTGTCTTTTGGAGCCAGTGAGGCGAAACACAGTATGCCTCTAGGTTAAAATTCTTTGATGTACAACCACTAGGTTTATACTTCTTTGACCTTCTCTTCAATGAAAAGGGAAACAAATAAAAATTGAGAAATATGGAGCTGTGTTCATCACCACATGCCAACAACTTCTTTTGCATTTTAATCTGATTACCTGGGCCTGATACCCATGCGATCGCTTCAGACGAAACCAAGACTGAGGAAATAGGGAAACAATAACAAACAAATGGCAAAAAAATCCCGAGCAAATAAATGTGTTCACTTTATAAAAACAGAAGAAAATTCTGGGAATGATTACCTGGGATGTTTGCTGATCTTATGGGGAGACACAAAGGAATAAAGTGTTCGTGTTGACATACTTCTTGAAGAAAATCAAATTTGTACTGGCATAAGGTCTGAAAGAGAGGCAAACTGCATGACTATTATTTACACACCAAGAAAGGTAATAAAAACACCCTCTCCGCACTTGAATCTTAACCCTAAAAAACAGTAGTTACAGTACTTTTGTGTGACCACCACGTAATTGTTAAGTTTAAAGGATTTTGCCCCCTCTAAATGGGGACGTGTAGTTAGGGTCCCTATATTTGGAGACTGGTCAAGCCCTCCTCAGGAAATAATCCCTTTTGTAGCCTACACTGAGCTTCTGTGGGATAAGATCTGACAGCATCTTGTTTTTAGTTTCTTTTAGTGTGTATCACGACACATTTATTCTGAGAAAAACCCTGCCACACCACATGGGCAGAGCTCTCTCAAAAACTACTCTCAAATCTTAAAACAGATGACTACAGTCAGCTCCTATGATCCAGAGCTAAGGAAGACAAGAGTGTGTGTCATCTAAAACTAGAGCTGGAACTCTGCATGCCACTTGTTCTCAGAGTACGTTATTGAATTCCGCTTTCTTCCCCGCCCTTGCAATCAGGCCTCTCTTCTGAGTAATGTTTGGATTCGGACAGAGATGAAGGGAGCCCAGGCACAGTCTAAGTCGACTGCAACACGCCTTTCGAGAACAACCACACCAGTGGGAACAGTGAGCATGTTCATAACTGCTCTGTGCTCACTCTCATGTGTGCTAAGTAACCATGTTTTAAGACTAAGTTGGATTTTCATCATCGTATTCACTAACAACAGCTCACAAAATAAAATATATCCCATTTACTCAGATATTTTAGAATAATATCTTGTGGTAACTTGAGTCAATAATTTAAAATACTACCATTTCAAACAAGGATAGTATTTGACCGAATCCTTTGTACATCAAAGTGAACAGGAGCATAATTAAATGATATGTTAATTGTTTTACATTGGGAACACTCTGTTTGGTCTTTGGACAAATATATAATTTAGGTCTACTGCAATTATATCTAAATAGAGATTCTGGAAACTTCATGCATGATAGGAACACAAACGAAGAACATCCTTTCAAAAAGATATTGAGAGAGAATTGGATTTTCAAAACCAAATGACA